CAGGAGTGGGTGGGGGTGCCCATCAGCCGTCTGAGCATGTGTGGAGTCTGCCACCGTGGAAACCGAGTCCGCGGAATCGGGACAAAGGTACCCGAGCCAGGTCTTCAGGAAGAAGTGGGAGTTTGTGTGTTGGGGGTACAGGGATACTGTGCTAAGTGCTTTGCTGCATTATCGCTGCATCGTCATAACCCATTGTGACTCCCCATTTTGTATTTGAGGAAACAATCCTCATTAATGTTGCCCGTTAGGCACACAGTAAACAGTAGTCAAAAGTTGAATTGCCAAGCCTAGACTCCACCAGACCTCTGCTGCCTTGCTGCTATACCATAAGCAAAATGTATGACAAATGTCCGAATATATTTTGTCCCGGCTCTATGCTCGTATGCCCTCTGGGGGGATACAGCGAGGTAGAAGGCTCAGCCCTTGCCTTCTAGGTTGTGTGCACTTGAACCAGTCGACTAAAAATGTAAAGCCAAGTGCTCCAGTGAGTAGTGCTGTTCCCAGAAGGCAGAAATGGCAATCACCTGGAGTTGCTGAATGCATTAGGAAGGAGGGTGATTTGAGCTGGGTGTGATTTGGAAAATTAATGGAAATACAATTGACGTTTGGGAGAGCCACGGCAAATGAACCTCAGGTGAGTTGGATAGATGTTTCCAGTTTCCTCTAACCAAGCTCATTTATCTTTCGGTTACCCTACTAGCACAGGTAACAACAGGAAGCTGACCGTATTTTATGCTGCTCTAGAATAGGTGTTAAAAATTCAGATAACTGCCCGGCCAGGCGTGGCTCAGCGGTTGAGCGTCGACCTGGGATCCAGGCAATCAGGGTTTGATTCCCGGTGAGGGCACATGCCCAGTTGTGGGCTTGATCAATGACTCTCTCATCATTGATGTTTCTGTCTCTCTCTCCGTCTCCTTTCCTCTCTCTGAAATCAATAAAGATATATTTAAAAAAAAAAAATTCAGATAACTACAGGGGTGGGCAGGTAAGGTGAATAAGTCAGTAGGTGGCCTGAGGACTGGAAACGGAGGAGTATGGCCTCTAAGGGTGCTGCTGCCTCTCCACTCCAGCCAGGCAGCAAAGTTCCCAGTGTGGCCAGATCTCATTTTTCAAGAAAGTCAGAAATCTAGATTTTTACATGAAATCTCCCAATCTGTCAATATAGGTAAATCATTTAAAAAAAAAAAACAGCACTGGATAGACCAAACAAAACAGGTCTATTAGCCAGATGTGGCTCTTGGGCTGTGCTTTAGGATCTCATGGTATAGACATAACAAAGACTGAGAGTATGCATCTTTTTTTAATTTAATTTTTTGTTAATCCTGACCGGAGGATATTTTTTCCATCAATTTTCAGAAAGAGTGGAAGGGAGAGAAGGAGGGAGGGGGAGAGAGAGAGAGAAACATTGATGTAAGAGAGACACATCAGTTGGTTGCCACCTGCACGCGCCCCAACGGGCCAGGGATCAAACAAAGCATAGTTTCCAAGTGAACTTGAACATTCCAAGGCCAGGAGACACTTCTGGGTAAAGGTTTGATGGCTCTGAATAGAGATAGCAGAGTATGTTTCCAGGAATGGAAAAATTATACCTATGTACATAGAGATATATCAGGAGGTTGTCATGCCAAAAAAGATACACCAAATGGAGTCCACACTCCACCATGATGGAGACTTCCTCAGGGAGAGAACTTCCTACTCAGGTGTCTAAACCAAGCTTCCTTAGTTAGAGCAACTCCAGGATATGGGATGGTGATAACGCCAGGGAGAGAGTTCATATGATGACCACAGGTATTTCAACAATCTTAGGGAAACAAGATCCTGGGATCCCAGCCATAAAATGCAGAGCTGAGGGACAGGGCAGAGTCATGGGAAGCAGAGAAACAGAAACGCTTAAAAGCTCTAAGCAAGATTCTTAGTTAAGCTAAGCGTGCTTCCAAGGTCCTGAAGGTTCACCAATAAAAAAGCTTCAAATTCCCTTGCTCAGCATCACTGGTTAAATGTGGAACATTCCAGCCCGGCCCACGTTGCTCAGTGGTTGAGCATCAACCCATGAACCAGGAAGTCAGTGAATTGATTCCTGGTCAGGGCACATGCCCAGGTTTCGGGCTCCATCCCCAGTAGGGGGCGTGCAGGAGGCAGTCAGCGTTTCTCTCTCATCTTTCTATCACTTTCCCTTCCTCTCTAAAATCAATAAAACCATATTTTTAAAAAATACGGAAATTCCTGATTCTAAGACATTATTGCTGTAAAACCATTGAGTTAATGACTCATCATTGATGTTTCTTTCTCTCTCCCTCTCCCTTCCTCTCTGAAATCAATAAAGATATGTATTTTTTAATAAGTAAATAAAATAAATAAATAAAAATACCCCACTGGCCCTTAGCCAGTTTGGCTCAGTGGTTAGAGTTGTCGGCCTGTAGACTGAAGGGTCCCGGCTTTGTTCCACCCAAGGGCATGCACCTCAGTTGCAGGCTTGATCCCCGGCCCTGGTGGGGGCACGTGCAGGAGGCAACCAATTGATGTGTCTCTCTCATATCAATGGTTTTCTCTCTCCCATTCTCTCTGAGAAAAGCAATGGAAAAATATCCTTGGGTTAGGATTAAGAAAAAAACCAAAAAACCCTACTGCTTTCTCCTTGATTTTCCTAAAGTGAGGACAGACTCTTCAGCCACAAGAAACTGATTATTTATGTTAATTGTGCTAAGGCTAAAATGCCCTCCAAGGTGCTAATTTCAAGTTCAGAGTTTGCTCTTACAGTAGACTACCCCCCTTATTCATGGGGTCATGTTACAGGACCCCCAGTGGATTCTTAAAACCACAGATAGTACTGAACCCTACATAAACTATGTTTTTTTCCTGTACATACATACCTATGATAAGGTTTAATTTATAAATTAGGCACAATAAGAGATTAACAACGATAACTAACAATAAAATAGAACAATTAAAGCAATATACTGTAATAAAAGTTATTACATAATAAAATAGAACAATTAAAGCAATAAACTGTAATAAAAGTTACTTGAACCATTGACTCTTGGGCCATTATTAAATAAAATAAGGGTTGCTTGAACACAAGCACTACCTTACTAGGACAGTCAATGCGATGACTGAAGGGGCTACTAAGTGACTAATAGTAAGTATATTCTGCATGGTTACAGGCTGGACAAAAGGATGGTTCATGTTCGAAGCAGGACCCTTAGAGATTTAATCACCCTGCTCAGAATGGTGCAGGATTTAAAACTCATGAATTGTTTACCTCTGTAATTTTCCATTTAATACTTTTGGACCAAAGTTGACCACAGATATCTAAAACTGGGAAGTGAAACCATGGATAAGGGGGAACTACTGTATTATGAGGTACTTTTCTACCAACATTCTCCCGTTTATAGTATTTTAAAAGGTACGGAGGGTGAGATGTTGGCCAACTGCCCTAGGGATTTCCATTTATCCCCTCTGATTTATAAAGACTGGTTAGTTAGGTTTCATTGTATGAGATAATGGCTTCCTTATTTATTTTGTTTGCCTAAAGTCTAAAATTTCTGCATATTGTATATGTATCTAACTGATTTGAAATTCTGTTGACATGCTCTGGTTTTGAATGGTCCTTAGTTGGTGTTATGGCTGCTTTATTCTGTTGCAGCTTTATACTATTATTCTTTTATCTTCCATATAATAGTCTTAAAAATCAGATGAAAACAAAATTAATAAGGAACTTCGGAGGGAAAGTCTTCTAGGTGGAATGTCAGCAAATTTAACTTTGTTCTATTTCTTTCTCTCTTTCTTGGTATCCTTCTTGCTGTTCTCCATGACATCACAGACAGCTGGAAATGATCCCCCTGGTGTTTCAAAGACAAGTGAAATGGAAATGGAGATAAATAAAAGGAGAGAGAAATTTCTTATAAGTGTCACAAAGTTAGTAGAAAGCAAAAGTTACAACAGCAAGGTATTTTACGAAGAAAAGTACCTTGAAACAATAAAGTCGAAGAGGCTAAGGAGAAGGAGAAGAAGTCATCACATGATTATTGCCATGTAGCAAAATATGACTTGATTTCTGTACAGGGCACAGAGAAACTAATAGAGGCTACTCAAGGAGAATGAGATTGAATATGATACGTGCCTAAGGAAGAGTTGTTTGATTCTCTTCATGATACACATCTCAGTATTGGACATGGTGGGCAGACACACATGCTCAAGGAGCTGCAAGGAAAATATGGGAATGTCACCAAAGAAGTCATTGTCATATCTGACTCTGAGTAAACAGTGCCATCAGAAGAACCCTGTTCCCAAGAGAGGCCTTGCACCCAAGCCCATGACTTTCAAGGACATGGACTGCAGATGCCAAGTTGAAATACTTGATATTCAGTCAAATGCTGTTGGAGAGTTCAAGTTTATTTTATACTACCAGGACCACTTAATCAAGTCAATTATTATTTTACAGCCGTTAGAAGCCAAACAGATCCATGAGGTGGCCAGTGTCCTATTGGATATTTTCATGATTCTTGGTATACCTGACATATTAGAATCTCACAGTGGCATAGAGTTCACAAACCAGGTTGTTAATGAGCTCAATGAGGTATGGCCAGACCTAAAGATTGTATCTGGTAAGTACCACCCTGGCCAAGGCCAGGGCTCCCTGGAGCAAGCATGCCATGATGTTCCATGATGTCAATAACATGCTAAGTGCCTGGATGCAAAGTAACCACTCACATCACTGGGCTGAAGGCTTGTGCTTCTTGCAGATGATGAGAGATCAGGCCTTTGATGTTTCCTTGCAGCAAAGTCCTTATGAGGCAATGTTTGATTGTAAAGCCAAACTTGGACTCTATTCCTCACATTAACCCCGGGAAACCATGGCTGTTCTACAAACAGAGGGAGAGCTAGAAATGGCTGAAGAAGAGCTAGAAAACAACCTTTGGATCAGGCTGGAAGAAAGGGCTGAGATTGGAGCAGAGAGATCTGATATGGATGAAGACATCAATCCCACTCCCAAAGCTACAGAGCCTGGCAAGGGGCCCCAGGTCTCTTCTGCTGGTGAACAGGTACCCGCTGGATGGAAACTCATGGTGTCTCTGGATATCATACAGCCATCTGAGAACTGTTGCCAAAGGCCCCAGGGGAAAGGAATGAAGGCTGCACTCTCAGGTCAAGTTGTCCATGGTAGTCCTTGATCAAAGGGGAAAAGCGAATCATGTCTGTGATATAGGGCTGTGGTAACATGTTACCATAAACTTGGCAGCTTAAAACAACAGAAACGTATTCTCTCACAGTTCTGGAAGCCAGAAGCCCCAAATCAAGGTGTCAGCAGGGTTGATTCCTTTTGGAGGCTCCATTTCATGCCTTTCTCCTTTCTCCCATGACTGCCAGCAACTCTTGACGTTCCTGGGCTTGTAGCATCATAAGTCCAGTCTCTGCCTCATCTTCATGTGGATCTTCACATGGCCTTCTCCCTTCTGTTTCTGTATGTGTTCTTTTCGTCTGTGTCCTATAAGGACACCATGGGACACCAAATCCGTGTCATTGGATTTAGGGCCTACCCTCATTGAGGATAATCTCTTCTTGAGAACCTTACCTAATTACATCTGCAAAGGCCCTTTTTCCAAGTAAGGTCACATTCACAGGTAATCTGGGTTCAGACTTGAACATATCTTTTGGGGGGACACAGTTCTACCCACTACAGTCAGTAGAAGAGTATGTTGGTCTGCAAAACATGAACTGATGGGGTCTTAAACGTGTAGAATTGGTGGGCTGCCCTACATATATCTAGTACATATGCCTTCCCCTGCTTATCCCTGCTCCTCAGACACTTAGATACCCAAAGGATGGGGGCATCAGAGGAAAAAATGTAGGTGAACAAGTATTGAGAAGAAAAGAGATTGGAGCATCATCCCATGTACCAAAGGGTGGCAGGTTCCATCCCCACTCGGGGGACATTCCCAGGGTGCAGGTTCAATCCCCAGTCCGGGCTCATACGGGAAGCAATCGATTGATGTTTCTTACATCAATGTTTCTATCTCCCTCTCCCTTCCTCTCTCTCTCTGGAATCAATGAGAAACATCCTTGGTGAAGATTTTTTAAAAAGAGAGATTGACCCACCATGCGCTAGAGACAGGCTGCCTCACCAACTGAGCTCTATTTCCTGCTTCTAGAGAAATTAGATGCCATCCCTGCTCTCAGTCATTGTGCGACCTGCCTGAAATTTAAAAGTAGGTCAGAATTAAGACATGGCTGGGATTTGGTCCGAGTCTTACCACTCCCTATTCCTCAAGCGTAGAAAAGTATGTATTCCTGGAACGGATCAGTGCATCCCAATAGCCAGGGAAACCACAAAGGACTCTGAAGCAAAATGCAAAAGTTGGCCTGTGGTCACTGCTCTGACCAGAGAATAGAGCAAGGGCCAGTCTGGGTCACGGTTCAGAGTAAGGATGAGTGACCCAGCCAAAGGGAAGGAAAATGCCCCGGATCCATATACTGCTATAGTCCCAGGACCTAAAAGAATGCCTTGCCCATTGGAGGTGCTCAGTAAGGGTTTGTTGAATGAATAAATGGTTCTGCAGAGATGAACAGAGGGAAAGAAGAGGCCTGCAGTCCTTCATTCTCCCATACATCTTTCTGCATATCCTAGAGCCATCTAAAAAACATTCTAATTGCCCCTTAGTGCTGGTTTCCTCTTCTGTTTCCTCTTCCCTGGGCCTAACTCATGGGATTTTGAGACACAGTGAGATAATGTATGTGAAATAGCTTTCTCCATAAACACTGGCGTTCTACCATGTGAGTTGTCCTTGCTGCAAACAGATCCTATCATCCATGTGAGAGTTGGAGTCTTCTGTCCATTTCAATTAAACAATGTTAAGTTGGGTACCCAGGGAGGCTGCATTATTGGAAAGGAGATGACATCACTTTCCATTTCTCCTTTGTCACCCAGCCTAGCAAGCCCTGAGAGACCATCCCAGACTGATGCAACCATCCCTTCCCCCCCGTGCTGACCTACTACCTCCTGGCTGCTGGGCAAGCCCATAACAGCAGCATCAACTCATGTGGGTGGGAGGTGAAATGAGGTACAATACCACTGTCTCCCAGGGGGTGGCTACAAATAACCCAGGTTTCCGGAGCTGCTGCATCACTCTTCCTCTCTGGCTTCTTAATGTTGGCAGTGGAAGAAAGTTGGAGCTGAATACCTAGGTCCAGTCCTGCCTTACTCCATATTTCAGCATCTGGAACAGAGGTTGCCAAGTGGTGCGTCACTGGCTGATTTCAGCATGCAAATATATTTTGTCCATGTAATTTTTTAAATTTAAAAAAACAATTGCCAACCTTTCCAAAACTGTAGATTTCATATAAAAATCTGGATGTTTAGTACCTCTTGAAAACTTGAAAGATCTGGCCACATTAGGCCTACATTTCTGTGTTTTTTTGTTTGTTTTTTTTAAAATATATCTTTATTGATTTCAGAGAGAGGAAAGGAGAAGGAGAGAGCAAGCTAGAAACATCAATGATGAGAGAGTCATTGATCGGCTGCAGCCCGCAACCCAGACATGTGCCCTGACCGGGAATCGAACCCTGATTGCCTGGATCCTAGGTTGATGCTTAACCGCTGAGCCACGCCCAGCCGGGCTAGGCCCACATTTCTGCATGGCAGCTAAGTGGTAACCCCAGAAAGCAGCCCATACTTGCATTCTTTAGTTGGCCACCATTGATCTTAGAAGTAACACATGAAATTCAAAACCCATAAAAGATTAATATACTTAGATGCATAAAAATTTAAAATATCTATTGAGCATAATACCTCTAAAAAAATGAAAGATAAGTGACAGATTGGGAGAAAATATTTGCAACATCTAAAACATGAGGTACCTGATTTTAAAAAGAGCACTTGCAAATTAATAATGAAAAGAGCAACCAATAGAACACAAGCAAAGGCTAACCACAGAAGAAAAATAAATGGGTAGTTACGCATAGTGTTGTGCTTATGTGTAGCTGTGGTGCGGTGGAAAAGCACTGGACTTGGAATCAGATCAGGGCTATCAATTTAAATGAAACACTCGTTATTTGAGAGTTTATTTTTTCTGTCGTGCATGTGGGAGAAAAGTACCCAGTGATTTGTCTTGATTTAATAAATCTTACTGATAAGGAGATCCTGTGATTACTACATTATTTTCAGGACAGCTGTATTAGTTTTCTAGGGCTGCCATGACCAACTGGGTGCCTTAAACAACAGAAATTTATAGTCTTACAGTTCTGGAGGCCAGAAGTTTGAGGCTTGAGGTGTCGTCGGTAGGGTTGGTTCCTTCTGAGGGCTGTGAAGGAGAATATGTTTCATGCCTGTTTCCTAGCTTCTGGTAGCCTCAGGTGCTCCTTGGCTTGTAGATAACATTCTCTCCCTGTCTTCATATTGCCTTCCCTCTGTGCATGTCTGTCCTCTATCCAAATGTCCCCTTCCTATAAGGACCCCATCATATTGGATTAGGGCCCACCCTAATAACCTCATTTTAACTTAATCATCTACAAAGACCCTTTTTTCTGATAAAATCACATTCTCAGGTCCTGGGAGTTAGGACTTCAACACCTTTGGGAGCAACATTGTTCAAGTCATAGCAGCAGCTAATCAGAATGACATTTTTTTAAAGAGGTAGTTTTTATGAGGCATGGCAACAATTTCTAAAGTCTTAGAAGACTTACAAAATCCCTCTGTTCAAATAACAGTTGCAAGGGCAGATTTATTTTAAGAGAAAACAGAAGAAATTGGTACCAGTATAAAGTATATAAATCTCCATTTTGCACAGGAGAAGCAAATTGATACTTTTTTTAAAATATGTTTTTATTGATTTCAGAGAGAGGAAGGGACAGACAGAAACATTGATGAGACAGAAACATTGATCGGCTGCCTCCTGCACGCCCCCTACTGAGGATCAAGCCCACAACCTGGGTGTGTTCCCTGACTGGGAATTGAACCAGAGACCTCCTGATACATGGGGCAGGGTTCAGCCACTGAGCCACACTGGCTGGGCACAAGTTGATATTTTTGAAAAAAAATCTTAATATAATACCTTGTCCAACTAGATTATTTGGCTTAGTTTTCTAATACAAAGATATGTGTCTCCCTCCACATCTGCAAGAAGAGGAATGTTGCCCTATCTTTCTGAGACTCCTTTTGTTAATTTATGAAGACTTGTTTGTTTGTTTGTTTTTAAGGCTAATCTCTGGAATTCTGTTATGTGGCCCATGGAATTCAGCTTTACTAGAAAAAATAAATGGAGAGGAAGTTAAAAAGATTTTACTTAAGTGAAGTAAGGATCCTATAGAATTTTTCTTCCATGGAGTTCAAGCTCTGCTTCTGCATATAAACTATATGCAACCGTAAACTAGTCCCTTGAACTCAAAGCTCATCTGTAAAATTGGGATGCTAATAATCCAAACTTCACAAAGCTGTAATGAGATTTATTAGAGAGGGTATTTATGGGCATGGGGGGAGGGGCACTTTTCCCTCCAGTTTAGGGAGCTTTCACAGAGTTCAGTCTCTACCAAGAATGACCAACCAAGCTAAGGCCAGCCCTTTCCTCCAGAAAATGAAAGAGAGCTGGCGCACAGCAGCCAAACTTGGCAAGTCTCATCTGGATCCAAGCTGGTCTGGGTCCACCAATCTGGCTTCTGCCATTGGCATAGTGTTGAAAGCAGTGCACTTGGGCCACAGGCCCTCTGCCTGTGTACATGCAAAGCCACATTTCAGCCTTGGGGCCCTTCAAATTTGAGTGTACTATTGCAGTTCTCCGTCTGCTCCTGGAGTTCAGGAATGCAGTAGAAAGAACTACTCTGGTCTTCAAACACATTTCTGCTTTAAAAAAAAAAACACAAAAATTGTCCAGCCAGTGTGGCTCAGCAGTTGAGCACTGACCTATGATCCAGGAGATCTCAGTTTGATTCCCTGCACATGCCCCTGTTGCAGGCTTGATCCCCAGCAGGCAGCATGCAGGAGGCAGCTGATCAATGACTCATCATTGATGTTTCTATCTCTCTCTCCCTCTCCTTTCTTCTCTCTGAAATCATTAAAGATATACTAAAAAAACACAACAACAACAACAAAAAAACCTGTGGTAAGAACACTTAACAATAAGAACCACCGTCTTAACAATTTTTAAGTGTGCAATACAATATCACTAACTACTAGCAAAATGTTGTACAGTAGAGCTCTAGAATTTAAACATCTTGCATAACTGAAACTTTATATCCATTGAATTGCAACTCCTTTTTTGTTACCAACAAGATAACCAGACCTTGGTTCTTGTCTTCTTGAAGGAAAGATTTCAATCAAGAGACAAAGTGTAGAAAAGCAAGCAAGAATTTATTGGCTGCAGCAAAAACACACTTAGGACAGTGAAACAAGGAAAGGCATAAAAGAAGCAACAGGAGAGCCTAGACTGGGCTGCTTTGGCTCACTGAGAAGTCAGAGAGAAGGGGGCCTTGGAGACAGGTTCAGGGGGTTAGCCTGAGATGAGCTGCTGTTGCCCATTCCTTCCCTGATTGCAAGTATCTTGGGATCCCTTGGAGAAAAGAAGAGGGGAAGGGAATGGATGGGGTATGCTCCCCCAGTGGAGAGGGAGAGCTGGGTCCTTTGTGTGAGAGTATTACTATCTCTCTTGCAGGTGGGAATGTTAGGGGAGGTCTCAGGAGAGGGTCTATTAGAACTTAAGTTTTCCAGGTATGCTTTTTCAGGGTTGTGGTCTCCACTGATTGGCAGGGGGTCATTAGTCAATGCAGCTGGCCCTGAGGCAGCCATGGTGTCACTTGTCTGGTTTTGCTGCTTTTCTGGGCCTGGAGCTGAAATACAACTGAGGCATAGATGTTATCTTTAGCGAGGAAAAGGTCGGGGAGTTAAGCCACATGACCAGCAATA